AACCTTAGCCTGGCATTTGTCTAACGCTGGAGGATTTTTCATGTTAATTTTCCTTATCATCAGATGGGAAATTGGAGCCATCAGTTGGCAGTGATGGAGGTTTTCAGCAGGGACAGGCCAATTGTCCCTGATGATTAAGGCAGATGCTAGATCCCACTGTTGCGTGCATTATTGATGGCCATCAGTCAACACGTGTCTGACCACATTTAAGTGTCTCAGCAGGGTTGGCGTTGAGATCAAACTTCACACACACACAGCGCTGTCTCCTGCTCACTCACAGCCTCTCATCTAGTCCATCATCACGTGTGCATCAGCACATACACACTGGCAATCACAAGTGATGTGTTAATGGAAACAAACACACCTGGAATGCTAGTGTGCTAGTTTACATTGCACACATCAAAAGGTATTTTATAACCACAGAGCATCAGGACAGAACTGCTCCGTCTCTCTTCAGCTTGTGTACAGCACATAACTTACACACAAAAACAATATTACTTATAGACTGGAGCAGCAAGACACAAATAAGGCAGCAGGCATGAACGCTTTTAAAGACAAATAAATCATGCACCAGAGGAGCCGTCATTTGTGCTGGAGTTTGGATGATCTGCACAGCGAGGCTACCGATATGGAGTGGACTATACATTTGTACAGTTGGAGACACCATGAAATTGCCTGGCTGTATTGATCACATCACAGAGGAAGAATCAAAACATGAAGAACTGACTTTTTTTTCTCTACTGAAATCACCTCTGGTGTTTGTAATCAGCAGAACCCACCTGCCTGCTGCTTACATATTTCCTTTTTCCCCACTACTTTATCTCAGTGTTAATGACCAGTGTGGGAGCTGGCTTGTTGTACTCTGCATCTGCATGTTTTGGTACCAGTATTTATGTCAGTGAACAATAGGGTGTGTAATATATTAGACGATACCATGATCTGTTTAGTAGAAGGACTGGGGCACAGGGACAAAAGAATGAGCAAGTGATCACAACAACAGAGATGGGGTGTAAGTGACTGATCTCAGGAAAAGCCCACCTGATAGGATAGCTGTGGAGGGCTCTGCTGTGACACCACCTTTGTTTAACTGATCATTACCCCCATGTAAAACAGCACGGGCTGCTCTTCAGGTGCATCAGTTAATCTCCTTTTATACCTGCGGTGATAATACTCCCTCTTGACTACCCTTCCTCCCCCCCCCCCATTTCCTTCCTCCACAACCTCACTGTGGAGCCGCCTGTCGCAGCATGTCTGACATCTGTCAGAAAAAGGAAACAGTGGTTAGAGAAGGAGAAAAAGGAGGAGGGGAGAATTGAATAGTTGATGGCAGGAAGCCCAGATCTGACATATAGTGGACTTGATATACTGCTGAAGTAACCTCTTCATGTCACTGTACGCTCTTAAATTAGTTTTTAATTTGCTATCTGGCAAGTGGTACAATAATAATGTATGTTAAAAATTACACGATATTTTCCAGAGCAGCAGCAGGTCATGTTTTGATACAGTATGCACAGCTCTGTTTTTGAAGACTGTGGGGAATTCCACTGAGACAACAACCCCCGTCTGTGATGATGTGAGCCAGCTCTGGTTTGCCTCCCGCTTGTCTCTTCTCGCCCAATTCCAGGGACAAATGCAAATCTAAATTTATTCTGTTCCAGTTTTAGTTTTAGAAGACTAGTCTTTTATTCATGTGCCAAGATCGAACAGAACAGGTTTGTTTGACAAAAAAGCAGAGGCAATAGTTTCAGCCTGTATATATGCTTCAATATGTTTTACTAGTAAACTGTGCTCTGTTTAGGCCATCAAAGCATGACAACTGTCCAATACTGTTTTATCTACATTGTCATGGGATCGCATGCTTGCACATGCAACACCACATGACCTGGGCCACGGACCTACAGTCCAGTCTAAATGTTATATCTATATTAGAGCCTTTTCTAACTTGCTAACAATTTTTCTGCATCTGTAATTCTGCAATTCAAAACTGTTTTTATTGTTGGGTGAGTTAATGAATGAGGTCTAGGGCAGGTTACATTTATTTTTGTTGTATTGTCTTCTGAGAAGAAAAGACACTTTCATATGCTGTTCAGATTGTCAAATTTTGTTTGTTCAGTTTTTTCTGTCCTCAATTGGTATACATTTATTTTATTTATTTGTTTTTATTATTATTAGATTTCTTTTTGTGCACCACACCATATATAAACTTGGCTTTTTGCGAAACACTTGCAAATATACTATGAAGTGGTAACACAGGTAATGTTAATGACTGCAAGATTGTAAAGTGCACAGAGTGGTTACTAGATTATTTATTAACATTCTTATTAGTGTTCCAACATCCAAAGGTCACAAAAGCCAACAAAAGACAATCTTTGAATACCCTGATTGAAATAAATGGTGCAGAGACTGGAATAATTATAACTCACGAAGGAGACGTTGATTAAAGATCAATATTTTAACTCCTCCTTTAAGAGTTGGAAACTACTCCCTAAGGTGCTAATAAAGTCAAGGTGGAACAAATGTCTCAAGTTTAAGTTTACATGTTGAAACACTATGCCAAGTAAGCTAATCAGAGCAGCATATCCAGCTAAAGAAAAAGCAACACACCAGAGGAGACCATATTGTTTATGCCCAGATGTTAAAAGGTGGTAGATGGCGTTTATATCATGTACTAGGTAGGAGATGGCCAAAGGGAGGAAAGTGGATACAGTGCTCGCGTGTCTAGCATGGCCAAGTGTGTATTCAGCTCTGAAAACTGGAAGCAGCAGCCACCTGTACCCACAACAGCCGGAGAGGCACCTCAATGACAATAAGACATCATCTGCTAACGCCGCTATTACCTCCTGTCATTCTGTGCAGCTTCTCTGTTAATTACACAAACCATTTCCTTCAACATGACTCACTTGGCTGCAGGCCCAGAAATCTATCACTTCACCATGTGCGTCTGTCACATGTGAGCAGGTTAATCAGGTTAGTCATGAGTTAATACAGGTGGCTGGGATGCAGGAGACAAGGCTGGTGCCAGGAGAACATGCTCCACATCAACCTGCCAGACTAGGTGCTCACTCACTCCCTCCCACCTCCCCCTCTCACACAACATCCTGTTTGTCTTCCTCTCCGGTGTGTCTTTCAGTGCTCCAGCTGAGCAATTATCCAGCCCCAGACCTGTAAACATCAGCCATGATCTCTGATGAGAAGCAAGTCGGTACCTGTGTGCGGACTACAGGAAACCAGAGAACCAGGTGGAAAACTCAATGCCTCTTGATACTGTATCTCTGTTTGCACTATCACAGTTAGTGGCAGCAGACAGTTGTTTACTCTAAGCCAGCAGCCCCCAACCTTTTTTGAGCCATGAACGGGTTAAAGTCTAAAATATTTTACACGGACCAGCCTTTAAGGTGTAGCGCATACAACTAAATTAAATGATATTACAGGCATAAAAAGCCATTATGTTTGCAACTTTATTAGTCCTCATAACATTGCGCTTGACTTTTAATGCACAACGCTTGGTCTTAGGCTCTTCCTTTGTCTCCTCACTGGCTCTTTTACCCTACGCAAAGAAGCTTTCCAAAGATGTTTATTTTTTGAGACTGAGGCAAGCATCTTGAAATGTAACAAATGTGAGTCATAGACAGATGTGGCGGAAAGAATCCGGTATTTTTTCATAATAAAAAACATCATACAGCTACATATAATGTGGGCCCCACATTAACCTTAAATATTCATTGTGTATAAAAGTGAACATTGACAAATGCCTAATTACAGCTGTGATGTGATCCATTTCAATATATCCAGCAATGGAGAAACTATAGCCCAGGTTTCTCAGGATGTGTGTGTTTGCAAACACGTCACCTCCTATATATTGTGAATGATTTGGCTGTTAATACAGAGGTGTTTCTGGTGCTCATAAATAAACAGCCCTGGAGTTGTATCTAATTATGAGCCATAAGGGAACATAGGCTGCTTTTTATTGGGACTGAGGGTGTTGGTAAAAGGAGGGGGCACTTCCGATAGTCAGGCAGGCAGGTGGGCGGGCTGCGGGTGTTTAGACCCACCGCTGCCAGCAACCAAACCTCCCACACAGCCATGGGTGACCTAGAACCACACAGACGCACTACCACCATAACCACAGTTCCAAACTGCACTGGACAGAACAAAAGAAAAATAATGACAGGCATTAAAAAGTCACACAGCAGACTGTGACATTTACCCACTGTGCACATAAAATCTTCAATGTTCAACAATAAGTAGAGATGAACTACAAAACTGCTAACAAACAGCAAGTAGAACACAATGACATCCTGATGGACACTGGACTATATTGAATTAAACAACATGACCTAGATAGCTGGTTTAAGTAGAGAGAAATACTTGCACCAAATAAATTTAATACTAAAGCAACTGACAGAAACACAAAATAAAATAAACATAACAAAGTTTGTCAAATGAGTATTGGTACCCAACCGAGTCTTTTTGGTCACAATGCAAATATATTATAAACCACCAATTCAATTTTAAAAAACAAACAAACATGTAGTCTACTTTTAAAGCTAATAGAACCTTTTAGAAGAGTTTTATTTCTGACTAAATAGCAGGGGTAGTTTCAACCTGTCGCAATTACTTACAGATATAGACAGCAATATTGGGTTTCTAATTATTGCCAATAAAAAGAACCAGAAACATAATATGAAGAACTAAGGGTTAAACTACAAATGTATAGTTCAACATGAGGGAGGGGGGTCTCTGGATTATCGTTTGGTTTAGTTATTGTATTATTCGATTCCAACAACCAAAACAATGACAGTGACTTGCTTGAACTGGTTGTTTATAAAGTGTGGAAGACAAATAAAACATTTTACACGTTTTCATTTACAGTTGATATAGAGGCGCAACGGGCCCACGCCACAATGGCCACTACAAACAATTACATTGCTGCCAGCGAAACACACACATTATCAAGCAATGGTGGCTGTCAGTGCGAATATAAGTAAGTTGTCACTCACCCGACTCCGGCTGTGCAGGTAGTATATTCCGGAAAGGAGAGGTGCGATAGCGGATAAGTCCATTTTTTGTTTGTTTGTCAGCTTCAATTCAAACACAAACAAACAGAATTCACGACTGCTGCAGAATGTCCTCGTATACGTCAAATATAAACAAATAAAATAAATACTACGTGTTGCTTTTTGTGAAAGGTTATAAATAAATAAGTAAATAAAAACAATAAAATATTGTACCGGGAAAGATAACACATGGCATATGGGAACGCTCTCGTGTAGGCCTCAGTGTGACGCAGGTGAAAGTAATTAGACCTATTGGACCAGTAAACTATTGTGTCTTTTTGTGTGCAAATAAAATTACAGTAAATAAAATATAACTCTACTTCTATATATTTAGTCCCATAAACTTTAATTAATATAATTTAATTGTTTAAACAAAAAGCTTTAATTATACAAATGGTGCATTCAGGGAAGCTCTGTCAGAAGTCGTATATGTGTATATATGTATATATATACTTTCTGTTTGGACTTCAACGTCTGAATTGCAACGTTATTAAGTATAAAAACATTGCTTTGGTGTGAATTAAAAAAAGAAAACGGTTCACAATGTTTTGGTAAAATATATACTTTTTATTTATTTCTTCAAACAAAGAAATATTATGAATGTTCAGTATTTAATTATCTAGAAACATCTGTTCCATTTTGCTTTTGCATTGTGTAAAATACTTGATTTACATGTCTTTCTCATTTCTGTACATACACATCTGCTAGTCTAAATACATACAATATGTGGGTAAGACAGATATTTCTAACATTTTAGAATTCAAAACAGGTTGAATAAAACTCAACCACAAGAAATGCAGCAACATGGAGAAAAAAACCCATGGATGCAGATTGTTTTATTGGTTCCCCCCTCATAATTCAAATGTGCTCCGTCAGTGACAGGCATGTTCCCTCCATGATGCAACTGCTCGAAGGGCTCACCATAAATGCTTTCATAATCACATAAAACACTTCAATTATGAAAGAAAGGAGAGGCATAGGCTGGAAACTCTCACTCTGAGAATAGATGCTCAGTTAGACAGAGGAAAAACAGAGTACTACTAAAAAATAAATACAGTGTTACAAGCCTCCATCTCCCGTGTTTATCGTTTTGAGGCTATGCCATGAGCGTCCGACTGCGTCATACAGAATAGTCAAAGAGGCACAAGGTTTCCTTAACTTCAAAAGAAAAGAGGGACAATCAAATGCAACATGATCTAACGATGAGTAACAGCCTGACCTTGCCTAGTGATCTGAGGGATGTTTCATGTGTGAGGATGGGTGGGACATTCACTAGGGTCCTGCATGAGCACATGCAGCTCCTCATCTGGGTCTTAAACTTTAATCCCTTCAACATTTTATCCCTGCATCATCTCCAAGACCACCACAAAGAAGCAAAGTGTGGTACAATGTATCACAGCATGGCCACCTCCAGAATTAGGATGCCACCCACTGCAGCAGGATGGAACAGCGCTTCAAAGAATTATACTTTTTTTTCTCCCTCTTGCAAGAATTGACAAACAAAACAAAACACACAAAAAAACCTATGGTGTACAGTTGGGAAATGTGTTATCAACACATGGTTGTTTTTTTGTTTTGTTTTTTTGCAGGGTAGACCTCTGTAGTGACATAATGCAGCGAATAAGGCATAATACACAGACCGTGGGACATTGGCACATGAGGATTTCTGCAGTTAAAAACACTTAGACACTTAAACCCTGCCTGAGGCCACACTTGCTGCGCTCCACGTTCTTCACCTGAAAATCTTCCCTTTTCCTCTGATCTCTGCAAAAGTGTGGGATAAGAAATGTTTGGCGTGTGTCAACTTCGCTATATTCATGCTCGACTTATAACAGATACGCTCCTGCTACTCACGCAAAAGGTTTCCCATCTCAGAACAAGGCACATGCCCTAGCCTCCATCATGCTGTGCTCCATCTCAGCAAGCCAAGAAAGAAAAAAAATCAAAGACAAGCTGAGTTTGATTGAAACTTAGCGTGACCTTTGAATTGAATGGATAGGGCTAGGAGGCTGGCGCAGAGCCAACGCTGCTTCTAATGGGGAGTTAGAGAGCATAGCAGGATTGATCTTCCAGTTACCTTTACCCAATTAGCATAATGTTAACACAGACCGTGATATGGTCCTGGGATGGGATTAAACCTTTGATGGATGGGTCATTTATTCAAGTAGACAGCACCAGCACTGAAAACCAAAGTGCACCCGTATTCTTTAAGTATGAGTGACAAAATGAGCATCCATTGATCTATTGATCCGTGTCTTACTGAGTGGTAATAACAAGTGGAAGTGAACCGTTTGTGTTTCAGTGTAACACCTTTGAGCAGAACTACAGCCGGAGTGACAGGGTTCACAGAAAAGACCATGCACGTACAAACTTCTATTCCCAGAAAGTACGTACTTGTCTTAAAATGCAATAAAAATTGCAGTTTGGAAATATTGATTAACAGACAAAAGGACTAATTTTGCTGACAAAAAATAACAATATTATTGCCTGTAACATATTCCAACTAACAAAACAAGGAAATATATATATATATAACATATATTATATATATATATACGTATCAATCAGTGAACTATTTGATCAATGCTTTGTGCCTATGCCTGATAAAAAAAAAGTTTCACTGCATTAGCAAAATATATGTCCCAGTTTATTTGTTGAAATACCAAATACTGTTTGCCACTACTTTGTGAGCTCTCTGTACCCGTATTGTGGTGCTTTTCAAATGTGTCACCCCAGGAACTATTTCAGTTATTGCTAATATCTTACGTTTATAAAGCACCAGTAAAAAATGTTTACAGGTACCTAAAGATAGAGCATGAAAAATCAGAACGTAGAGGAATGTAAAAAAAAAACAAATGAGTCAGATGCAGGACAGATGTAGTTGACAAACACGGTTAGGCAGCTTAGTGAATTAATTGCTTAAAAATAAAAAATAAATTATTATAAAATAGATTTCTGTACATTTACATATATATAGCAATATCTCCACATTTTTGCCATTGAATTACAGAAAAAAACATATTTTTCAGGAATTGATCAGTGTCTCTAATGACCTTCACATCAATCCCAGCCAAAGTTGTGTCCTGTCATCTGGTAGAATTTCAGGTTGAATGGTCTGTAGAAGTCCCGCAGTCTCTGCACCACCTCAGGGTCAATGTTGGGATGGGTCCTGCCTTTGGTTTTTCCCAGGCAGTGGGGTTTACTGCTGCCCTCTGCCTTCTTGAGGCATGGGAAACCCTTGGTCTGGTTGAAATAAAAGTGTTTGTCTGTGATGATCCTCTTGAGTCCCAGGAAGTCCTGGACGCGGCCCAGCTCCCCTGCTGGGTCGCTGATGAGACGCTCGCCACTCACAAACAGTATCTGGCCCATGGGGAAGTATTGCAGCCAGTTGTCCAGGTGCTTGGCGTAGATGCCGATCTGGATGGCGCTCCAAGAGGTGTCGATGAGCCCCGTAGTCCTGTTTTTGAAGGTGAGGCTCTCAAAAGAAGGAATGTCCGGCTTCTTGGACAGTGTCTGTGTGTAGTCTGAGATAGCCCTGGTGACCGGGTCCCTCACCACCACAATCAACTTAGTGTCCCGGGACATGGCGGAGATCCTGGCTGGAGCCTCCCTGGTCACAAAGTAGCTGGGAGTCTTCTCCATGGTGATCTGACCCTCCAGGGTCTTGGGCATCAGCTCCCTGCAGGAAAACCAAACCAGAGAAAAACAGGTTAGCAGAAGGTAAAGTAGAACAAAGACTTACATAATGTAATCAAGATGATTGAGTGTTTTGCTGTCTGTAAACACTGACTCACTGCCTGTGTTTAAACTTATTGTAGGGCTTGAAAACGTATTAGTGCAGGCGGCACTCCAATGACAACAAACTCTCTCACTCAAAAGATATCTACCTCATGGCCTAGGCAAAGAATTCTTATTTACAGCACAATCGAACAAAGGGAGTCATTAACTGGAATTTCCAAACACAACCAACCCCAGGTTTAACCAAAATAGGAATTAAACGTTGGATTTTCCCACCTCAATTGAGACTCCCAAATCCACCACTTGCTTATTTAGGGCTTGGTTACCCATAGTTTTTTTTAATAAACATTACTTGGATTCATCCTGCATTTTTCAGTATAATTTAGATCTCAGCAAGTGTGAAACTTGTTATTTAAAATGTCAACATGTCGTTTGTCTTCCCTATCATTTTTCTATCGGATGTACTGTTTACGTTTGGTCAGAGTGATCAGAATGCAGCCCATTATTTTTACCACTGCGAAACACACACACAGCACACAGACAGTCAATTAACTTTGCTGAATTAGTGAGTAAACCATGACACTGTGCCCTCTCCATCCCCCACCCACCCATAGAGCCACAATAATTAAAAAGTGCCACAGCGTTGAAAGACAATGAGGATTGCTTCTGAAAGTTTCTTGAAGAGTTGGGTTTGGTTTTGAGTGTTGACCAACGGTCCTCACACAGATACGATTACACACAGACCTATAATCAAGAAGTGCTTGAGAACAAATGGTTTTGAAGGAAAAGTAAACGCGCTCTGATCTCCCAGTATTAGATTTCAGTATTGGTGGACAAACATGGTCTAAATTATCATGGAGGCGATAAGAGTGGATTGACAGAGACTGGGATATGGATCACCTTTCCCTCTTTGGCTGCAGTGCCAGGAATGAAAAACAAGCCTGTGTGATATTGGTAGGATAAAATGTTTTTCTGGTGCTAATGCTTGGGAATTGTTTGGATTATAGGCTGGAAACCACATCAGCTCAAAGGGTTCATCCTGCCTGGTTGCAATAATAGCAAAAAAGACCAAAAAAAGAAAGAAAGAAAAGAAAAAAGCTTGTGACAGCGAAAACAACAATACCACAACAAATACACAGGTTAGAGCAATAAAAATGAAAGCAACAAAAGACAGCCCAGATAAGAGAGGGCACTGATCTATCAGGGTGAACACACTCTCACAGATAAGACTCATGTTAGCCTGTCGTACCCTCAACCTCACCCTTGTCGTTAAGCCAGCGCATTGATACACTATTGTGTGAGCACTTCAATTGTAGTGGCTCCTATTCAAACACAATGTAATTCTTCAGAAAGAATTTACACAATGATAAAGATAAAAACATCCCGAAACACATTCTCTTCTCTCGGCTTACATCGTCCCCTGAGCTTCTGCTGTTCCTCAGAAATACAGGCTAAAAGCTAGGAATCTAGTTCATGTCCATGCAGCTCATGGCTAATTCATGTAACACAATCTCTCCATCAGTGTGTGCAGAAGAGGAGGAAGAGTGAGTAGGGAAAACGTTGAGGTAACCAATTAAATGCCTTATGGAAATGGTGTTGGCAGATTTGTGTAATCCCAGCGCAGTGCCAGTGATCTAATTATGATAATATCTCCTTGATTGCTTACATATCAGTTGCTTGAATGGCGAGGACAGGAAGGAAAATGGGCTGTTTCCAAAACCTCATTAATCGCCTTTTGAAATCAAAACATATACAGTGTTTCGTTTTATGTGAGAGCCTGACAGATGTCTGTGCCAGCAAACCATTTCTGGAGATTGTACAGCAACATACGAGCACACGCACATTCAAAGGTCCTGCAGTTTGAATACAAGGAGCACAACTACTAAAATGTGAATCATTGTTTCACTGATGCACAATAGGGATACTGCGTGCAGAGGGTTTTTTTTCTCTCTTTTTCGTCACTCCTTGTGCTGAGTCCACAGCCTGCAGAACCAAATGTCTTCCCATCTAATCCGATTTCAACATGACAATGGAGCATGGAGATAGAGAGAAGGCCTGCGTTACAACATGCATAGTGATAGATTATGCTAATCCGAGTTTATGGATTCCTTGGAATTCAAATATGGTAAAAGAATTGGGGTTTGCAGGAGCATAAAACAAGGAGATGGTTGGATGACGAGGAATAAAAGGCCAGCGATGAGGAAACCTCTAAAAAGCCACTTCTCTGCAAGGAGAGGCCCCTAAATAAAAAATATTTTCACCTCTGCTTTTCTGTCAAAGGGGATAAAGAGAGAGCGAGAGAGAGGGAGAGAGAAAAGGAGATTGGAGGGAAATTTCAGTGGGACAAGTGGCCCTTGGAGAAACAATGCCTATTATACTGCTTTTTGATTTATGAGGTGCTGCTTTTAAAGATTCCGTCAGCAAACAGGCAATTCTGTGACACCAGGGCCTTTTTTTTCCTGCCTTTCTTTAAAAGTGACCCATTGTCCCTGTTTGCAGGGGTGAGTAGGGCAGTGGTCAGGGCATAGAGGCGGGAATGGGGGCAAAAGAAAGGATGAAGAGGAGGAGGAGGAGGAGGGAGAAGAAACAAGGAAGAGGGGTGAGGTACTTATCAAAGGCTGAGTTGAGAACTCTCTCTCTTGCGCTCTTTCTCTCCCTCTCAACCTCAAGTAAGAAAATACTTATGGAGGACTGGTACGTGGAACGTGTGCCAAGACGTATCAGTAAATATTCACCGTTTCTTCTTTGAATTCCAATGACTCCACAGAGATACTTCTGTGGAAAGCAGTAACAGTAAAAATGGTAAATAACTAACTTGACCTCAAACATTACTACGCAAAACTACCTCCTTGTACTAAAGCGTCTCTTCCCTCCCTTTCCCCTCTCTGTACCTTTGTCCATTTAAAACCGTTGTCAGTTAAAAGGCTGGAGATAAATGGCAGGCAGGAAAAGGGTTATTTCTGTCTGATGCTTCTTGCCTCCCTCCTGTCAAGTTTGATTTGATGATAAGGGGCTGCCACTGAGCTCTCCGTGCCACAGCATCACTAACAAAATGAGTCGCCGGCTCACGGACAAAAGGAAAAAAGGCCATTTTGGCGTGTGTCTGTCAATTTTCTGTTTGATACAAAAGGTTTTCAATTGTCTCACATGTCGGAGGTTGAAAGCATTTGAATCTCAAATGCAGGTTTGTTGATTTGAATACTGACAAATCACTCTGTATCCACTTTGGATGCAGCTGGAAGGGTGCAGCTTTGCCCTGGTGGCAATTGAAGCTGTAAAGATGTCCAATTTTTATGGAGTTCATGACCCTAGAGAACTGTTGTTTCCCTGTAGGAGGTGATGGCACCTGAAACAACAACAACATCTTTGAAACACTCTAAGGAGGGGATAAATTAACCTGTCTGAGTAAACAAGGGAGAGGGAATGAAACACAAAAGATCTTCTGGGAAAAATACAGGCGTTTGTTGGCAGAAGTTGACCTATTACATTAAAACATTCTCCACTCTGGTCTCTTTCCCATTCATCACTAAAGTCCCCCTGACCCTTGGCTATCAGACCTCAAGCACTGATAGCAAAGTGACACTTCACAAGTGGATATAAGTAGAGGCAGAAGAGAGGGAGGAATCACTGAAAGGCTTCCTTTCTTCGCCAAGGGCCTCTTACAGAGCCCTTCACACAAACCGATGTGCTGCATACTGAAGCATTATTAGGGAAAACACAAAGAAACATCTTTATTCCCTAATAGATGATAAGGATCTTGAGCTCCACTTGTTCCCTTGTAGTTGAACATGATCTACATTGTTGCTTAAAACCCCTGAGGAAACAAGGAAGTGAGGTTTCTCTGTTTACAAATCAAACAAAATGCAGTTTTTGTTTGTGCAGAGAGGATGTGGTTTATAGGGTGTGAAGTATGAGTACACAAGTTTAGAATTTGCAACATTTTGTAAAGAAATAGTTTCTCAAAACTACAAATGACTTACATTAAGCTGTAACTTACATAATGCATTAATCCGCAATTTTAAAAAAATAAGTGAAATTCTACACACTAGATAAGTTTGTATGATCTTTTCTGGAAATAAGTTTGACACTATTGCTTTAGGAATAGGAAGATAAGGAGTCTAAATGTTATGAACTGTACAAACACACCAATGTTGCTATCAAGGCAGATGTACACACGCTGTGTATATTTCCAAAGTAGCACTTAAAGACATACAGAAGGCAGACATTTTGAAATATGCTCAACTCTGCCTGGAGTCTGACATTATATTTAACCACAAAGCGTGGCTTTGGCTGTAAATTAAAAGAATAAAGACTCTGGCCTCTGGAACAGGAGGTCGGGCTGTGCTGATGCAGAACCAGAGAGAGTGCAGCTACAGGAGCTTCATCTGCTCTGCTTTTAAAAGCACTTGGAGCAGCGTCCAGGTGTTACCATGTGACCACTTAGTGCTTTTGGCTGAGAAAAGCCAGAGATTCCTGTTAAAAATCTGAGATTTTGCAGAGGTACGTGCTAAAGAGGTTCTGTGTGCATCTGCAGCACACATCTAGGTTTAGTCTGGGAGCAATAATTAATGCATACCTCTTTAGAAACCACCAGTTTTCACACTTCCTTGTTCAAGCCCAAAAAATGTGCCACACAATGGACCCCGTGCTAAAGCTGCATCAATCTGATGAGCACTAACTGTCTGTGCCCCACCTTCTCAAGACAGAGGTTTCAAATTAACAGGCTTCACTGAATAATAGTGTCACTGGAAATGGAGAGAGGTGGCTGGGTGGAAGCCCCTCTGAATCATCTGTCTGCCAAAAATGTTAATAATGCAGGCAAACCTGGTATCAGACACTCAGACCTGAAGAGCAAACCAGACCATCTAATGGATGGTGGATATTTTGCAGCTGGAAGAAAAGTGAATTTCCTCCTCTATTGGGTACTCTGTGTACTGGTTT